TCTTTTCAATTTATTTTAATCATTCTATCTGTCTATTGAACTAAACTACAGAAATAAAGATCATGTCTATACTATTCTAAATTATTAATTATTAAACTTACTTTTATGACACAAAATATCTCGAAGTTTTTTCCACATTGATAATAACTATATAATGGTGATTGAAAGCAATATAAAGTATTCTACATCGTTCTTTGCTTATTTATAACAACATTCAAGGCAACATGATATTTATGTATATACATATAGTAGTCCTTCTCAGTTAATTTTCATTCTATTTTCGCGCCTATCCATTAACTTCTTCCATTAAACATCATCATGATATAGATACTAAGGACAAAAAAAAAAAGAGGACAGAGAGAATACTTTGCATATAATTAAATTATGTCAGAAAGCGAAGAAAAATAATAAAAAAAAAGATATAATTTTATTGTGGAAAATAAGACAAAATTAAATTTTAAATTTTTGTAAGCAGCTTTTGTTTTAATAACATTTGAATTAAATAAGTTTCCATGATCTGAACAAGCTTTACATCATCAGTAATATGTAATAGAATAAAATGTTCTTTACATGGATGATTTATTTATTCATTAGAGCATATACTAATTTTTTATCTCAATTAATTCATTGATAAAATATATCTGATTATTTTTCTGTTAGTTGAAATTCATGTATAGATCAATCAGATCTAGTAATTAAAATTTATTCTTTGAGTAGTAATGAAAGAGTTTTTCTAATAATTAAATATTGACTTGCAAATAAATTATCAAGAATTAACATTGATAAAACTAGAACATCTGCATATGGATAAAATAATTTAAGTGGAATAAAAATTCTATAATCAAAATGTTTTTAATTATCAAGTTTAGCTTAAATACTAGCTTATTTAAATGATGATTTAATACAATTTGAAAAATTTAAATCATCTGGTGAATTATATTTTAATTGATAAGATTCTTTTGAAAATCCATAATGATCTTAGAGAAGTTCGGTGTGTTGTTTTTTTTAAGCACTAATATGTACCACATCTGATGTTTTACAATGAATAGTTATGATATGAATAGCTTTCTAGTTTTGATGGTCAAGATAATTATTTATTAATTTCATCCATAATGCATTTAGGTTTTAATTCAAGAAAGATTATTGAATCATTGAAAATAAACAAATTAAGTTTATTTTTGAATATTCTAAAGTTCTTTTGTTCAACCGGTAACATAAATGATAGGAAATTCAGTTGATTAACAATTTGTTTATGACATTTTAAGTATTAGCTTTCAAATTAATGGAAATAATGAATATAGGATGTCTGGAAAGTGAGTTAACAAAAAGAAAATTGTAGATCTCTATTATGGTTCGATTGGATAAACTGATTTTTGTACTGATGATAGAGAACACTTTCAAGTTTTTATTCATTAATATGAAATTCTCACATACTTCTTCAAATATAATACTTTCAGGTTCAATATACAATAAAGTACTTTTTTGAGTTAGAAAAAACAGTATGTATAAGACTTTTTGTTGGATTTCATTTCATTATTGTAAGCTTTAAGCCATCCAGACTTATTTCTCTCGCTTCATAATCGTTTCCTTAACACATATGAAAAGCTCAGAATGATTGGTACATTTCTTCAAAGCGACTTGTTCATCTCTTATCAAAAATTTTGATGAAAGGTAAACTGACAAGACCGACAAGGTTTTGAAGGTTTTTTATGGACATTAGACTTGAGATTAATGTGTTTAATTTGTTAGAAATGTCCAACAAATGTTTATGAAACAAGAGAAATAAGCCTGAGTAGCTTAAAGCTTACAGTAATGAAATGAAATTCAAGAGAAAGTCCTATATATTGTTTTTTGTAATTCGAAAAAGTTTTTTGTAATTCGAAAAAGTACCTTATTAAGTATTGAACATGAAAGTATTACTTTGTAGGAGTATTTAAGAACTTTGTATTAATGAATAAAAACTCCAAAAGTCTCCTATACCACTAGTACAAAAACCAGCTCACCCAATCAAATCATAATGAATATATACAATTTTCTTTTTATTAAGTCACATTCTGGACACTATGTACTTTAGGAGACAATCATTATTGATAAGAATATTTGTTTCATGCAATGATGACTCGAAAATTCCTTTCATACATGGATCCGATTAGTTCATATTTTGAAATTGAAGAAAATTTTTCGTTATCATCTTTTCTCCTGTAATATGATAAGAACTGAATAGATAATTAGACATTTTATTTTGAAATGATCAGATTGTAAATGGATATTATTTCATTTAAAAAAATATAATTATTTTTTTACCTATAAGCATAAATCTGAAAACTTGAAATCAGAAAGATATTCGATTAAATTTCGTACATAATAACTAAATAATGAATGGAATCTTATTTTTAAAGAAGCTTTCTTGACATGAAATATTGATTAATCTGACTAGGTACATCAGTTGTCATAGGACATCTTTATAGTCTCTATGATTCACCTGATCGATATTTTTACAATTGCAATTACAAAAAAACAAAAACCATGAAAATTTATTTTTGTACGTTGTCTTTATACTTATTTATTATCCGTTGTTTTTGAATTTTCATACATTGATTTTAATGTATAACTTAAAATTGCTCGAAATTATTATTGGAGAAGATTTTCTTACAGAAAAATGATTCTATCAATTGTACATCTTTGGTATACAAAATGATAGTCATAATAATTAATCGTGATAAAAATAGAATAAATACTTTATATGATTTCTATTTATGTCTATCGAAATAAAACTATTTCTTTACCTGTTTTTCCTCTATCATAAGCATTGCCGTCAGTTCTATTCAGATATATTATTATGTTTTTATGTTTTCCTTTAAGACAAACTATAATTTTTCATCAAAATCTATTTATACATACTGAAAGGTAATAATTATAGAAAAAAACAGAAAAACAGACAATATTTTTTCTTTCTTATCATTAGTATTTATGAATCCCCGTAGAGACACATTCTCTTTCGCATGAATCTTATTTGTAGGTCAGTTTAGACTTTTTGAAGATAGACGACAGTTAGAGAATAACTCATTCTAATTTATTTAATAAGTATTAAAAAAAAGAATATTATTTGTAATGAGTGACGATATATACTCCCAGAAGAAAGAAACTACATTCAGTATTTTAACGAAATCTTTTCTATAACAAGATATCTTTTAAAAAATAATGATATATTCTGCAAGTCCGTGGAGTTTTCTATCACCCTGTATAATTAGGTCTTCATTTAAATCTATTTATTATGAAAATAAATTTCATATAACAAAGACACCCTCATATCCAGATTCTCACGGGTTTGATTTTGTTACTGTCATCAAAATAAGTTTTTGAAATTTTTTATTACTATAGAATTATCTTTTTGAAAAAAGCAATCATATATTCAGATAGCGCTTGAAATTCTCTATCTTCTTATATATTTAGTTATTGTCTTGCACTTATTTATTATCAAAATAATTTGAGTATAATGGAGACAACCTCAACCTGTATTTTCTCCTATCACTATCCTTTTTATTTCTAGTTTGTTATCACTTTTATTATCACTTCAGATATAAATTTTGAAAGAAATAATTATATCTTCTAACAATGACTTATTTTCTCGATTATTTTGAGCTTATGAAACAAAAAACGAAAAAGATAGATAAAAAATCCAATTTTTTTTTTACAGTTTGTCAAGGACCATTGCTGCATAATAGTCAAATTATTCTTCAGCACATATATGCAACATAAGACAAAAATATATGAAATGATAGAGAATTTCAAGCTCTATCAGAATGCATAATTACTTTTGTACAAACTTATTTCCTTTTTACGTATAATTGGACATAAAAAGTCAAAAAAAGGTAACCAAAAACGTGAATTTTTTGTACTTGTCAATTGAGGTTGTCTTCATTATACTCAAATTATTTTGATAATAAATAAGTGCAAGACAGCAACCAAATATATAGAAAGATAGAAAATTTCAAGCGCTATCAGAATATATGATTGCTTTTTTTAAAAAGATAATTCTATAATGATAAAAAATTTCAAAAACTTATTTTGATGACAGTGACAAAATCAAACCGGTGAGAATCTGGATATGAGGGTACCTTCGTTGCATGAAATTTATTTTCGTAATAAATAGGTCTAAATGAAAACTTAATTATACAGGGTGATAGAAAACTTCGCGGACGTTCAGAATATATTATTATTTTTTAAAAAATATCTTATTATAGAAAAGATTTCGTTAAAATACTGAATGCAGTTTCTTTTTTTCGGAGGTATATAATGATTTTATATGATTTCTTTTCAGGTGAGTATGTTTATTTTTATTCTGATTAAATTTTAGAACAATAAAATTCGGACTCAAATACTTATGAATAACTTTCTATAGAAGCCGCTCTTGAATAGAACCTCATCCATAATTTCACGAATTCTAGTTTAATTTCTCCATTGACGATTATATGATCTGAAATACCATTGTTCCAACACATATTATCAACAAGAATTCGAAATCAACATCTATTTAGAGACTAATGAAGATTTTAACTAAAATTTCTTCTTCAATCCGATATTCAACACGTTAAAAATGAAATTTCTACATTTGCCGAAGTACATCCAAGATTAAACTGAATTCCAGATTAGACGCCAACGCATATTTTATTTGTAGAGCACTTTTTCATAACCCATCAATCATGAAAATTATCACAGACAAAACTATCTATCGTATGCGCTTAAGAGCTAAATAGGATCTTTTTTTAGAAAATTGTTAAAAGCATTTCGGAAATACCATAGTTTATTTCCCGTTGACCTTTATGATTAGAGGGCGTCTGAATCATTCAATGATTACTATTTTTTTTTCCGTAATCTTGGCTTTTAGTTGATATTTATTTACAAAAGAAAAACGAGACATAAATAATTAAAAAAAATATTTTAAATATATTATAAATTAGTCTGAATAACGCATTTGATCAATTACAAAAGAAAAATTAATGATGGAAAATCATAGTCATCTTTCAATATTCTTATTAAATGATTATGATTCATGTACATTTACAAATGAAATACTTATACGTTATTTTGGTATAATAATTTTCTCGATTGGAATTATATCAACATTATTAAGTATTTGTGTATTTACAAGAAAACCTCTTCGTAAATAATTAAATTATTTGTTCTTTCAAAATAAAATAAAAATTTTATTTGAATAGGTCGTAAATCATGTTGCTTTTATTTTTTAATATTAGCAATAAGTGATTCAATACATTTAACAACAATGACGATTGAACATTTACGATATAGTTTTCATATTGATTTAATTGTATTTTATTCAATTACTTGTAAATCTATTATATTTATGATATATTTTTCGAATCATTTATCCAATATTGTAATAACATTAGCATCAATGTAAGTTTTTTATTACTCTTGAACTATATTAATATATAGTTTAAATTAACAATTATCATTTCTTTGAGATCAACTAAATAGTTTTATGTCGCAAACTGAACATTTAATTAATTATATTCCATAGTCAACAAAAAATAATCGACATTCAGACATTTGTGCTGCAGTAATAATATGTTTCTAGGCTTTGTGTATCACATATAATGTTTTCTTTTTACTTAGGGCATGTCACAAGTCTTTACGATACTATACCAATTTTTTATAGAATGCTTGAAGAAATTTTCTTTTTTTTATGTAGTGATAGAGAAAACGATGTTCTATTTTTCTATGCTATTTGATCAATCTTCAACTAATATCATAATAATAAAATTTCGATAAGAACTGTTTTTATGTAAAACTTAACTAACGGATGAGGTAGATTAATACGCTTTGTATTTCAATTTTCAATCACTCAATATGTTGTATTAAAAAACAAAATATACTATAGGATGCAGTGTGAAAAACTCTACAACTTATAAAGAACAGTTTATTTTATATATGAAATAAGAAAAATAAAATTTCTCTTCGCATGATTTTTTCAGGGCGGTGAAAATTGATCGCTCAGAATTTTGTTCATTTTGAAAACAAAAAATGTAACTATTAAAAAAAGTGGCCCTTTGTAAATTGTAGAGATTTTCATGCTGCATCATGTGGTATATTTTATTTTTTAATATAATTTATTAAGTGATTGAAACATTTAATCTGCCTCACTTGTTAGTTAAGGTTTACAAAAAAACAGTTCTTATCGAAATTTTATTATTATGATATTAGTTGAAGATTGATCAAATAACATAGAAAAATAGAGCATCGTTTTCTCTATCACTACATAAAAAAAGAAAATTTCTTCAAGCATTCTATAAAAAATTGATATAGCACTGTAAAGACTTTTGATACGCCCTAAGTAATATCATCTAATGAATAATAATGATAGAAACAGGGTTATTTTTAGTCACTCAAAGAGTAAGAAAGATAGTCAATACTTCACAATTCAATGGAAATCTTCTTGATTTTATAATCTTTTAAGATTTTACTAATTATAAATTCATGCTTTATAAACAAATATCCAGTCATTTGAGATGTTTAATTTGATTGAAAGGATAATGATGATGAGTATTCATTCGTTTTCTTGAGTCCATGTTTGATACTGAGACGCCAATGGTAACAACTAGATATCTATCATATTCCGTACTATTATGAAACATGAATTGAAGAACAAGAATGAATAGTCAATGTGTTATTACCATTTCAATCAAATTGTAGATACGCGCATTTTAACATTGTCCGAAGAAGTTGTTTTCAACAACGAAATATTATATTGAAAATTTGAATTATTTTATAATAGATTTATCAGAAAGAGAATTAAAAACATGACAAACAAACATAGTTATTGTATTCCTTATATGATGATATGTCTTTTTCTTTTGAAAGTCTGTTAATTATGTATAAACATTAATCAATCATAGTCAAATATTTAGAAAACATACCATGGAAACTATTAAATTAGATTCTGTGAACAATTAGATAGTATCATCTATTAAATATGTAGAAGCAAATAAAAAAAAGACTAGGTGGACCATTTATTTATAATAGAGAAATATATACGTAAGGATCACTGAAGATAAGAGTGTATTCAGATGTATATTTCGAATACTTAACTATATTATGTTAGAATATGCATCTTATATTTTAAAGTTTTCCATGTATGTACGCGTATTTACATAAGCATTGCAATACAGTATTAGGATATTCTATATTAAAATAAATTTCAAATAATTTTTATATCTATCAAATGCATTTTTGAATATTAATTGATTCATTAAAATTAGATATATAGTGGTGGATATAAGTTTAGAACCGTAGTATTATTAAGTTTTCTTCTCAATGGTAATCGCTAGCAAGAAGTTGAAAAAAAAACATTTGTGTAGCTGAAAGGACTCTCTATTAAGATTGGTAGACTCGAAGATCCCAACAAAACAGCTTGAATGAAGATCTATAAAAAAAGTCAATATTCCCCAAAACTAGCTTTCTAGTTTCTCTTCGAAAATTTTGGGAAAAGATTTTATCTGATAGAACAAATAATATTGAGCAAAATGATACGTCTCTAGTCTCTTCGTGATCTTCCTTCATCGAGCTACATTCAATTTACCGAAGGTCCAAGAACTATTTTCTCTTCATTTTAGTGGAAATTTCAAAATTTTTGTCATGTTTAACGCTTTGGGATCTTCTATAAGTTGAATGCAACTCAATGAAGGAAGATCATGAAGAGGTCAGACACGATATCTCACATTGCTCAAAATCGTTTCCTCGATCAGAAAAAAATTTCGAATAGAAACCAGATTTCTGGTTTTGAAGATCTTGGTTTTCCGCAGATCCTTATCCAAGTAGTTTTGCAGAAGTCTTCGGACCTACCAATCCTGATAGAGAATTCTTTCAGCTACACAAATGTTTCTTTTTTTAAGATTCTTGCTATCTGTTACCATCGAGAATAAATCTTAAAAATACAGTTGCTCTTAACCTTTGTCCACCACTATATGAATAAACAAAAGCATTTTCCGCAATACAATTTATCATACATCTAGATAATATTCGACAACATTCTTATCATTGTCTTCAAATAATTGTAAACTTTATGTGAAATAATCAATTAAAGGCTTGTTTTTAAATTAATTTAGACAAAAAAAAAAGTATTCTATCAAAAGTTATATCTATAGAATTTTCTAAACTCTAATGTCTAATATTTTGTCTGTTAACTATGTGCATAATAATTTTTCTTTTGTTTTGCTTTAGTGATCGATTTATTTTAATTTATTATCCATCACAATCTAAACGTTTTTGTAAAACAAGTAAAGCTAAATGGCTTGTTTTAATCGTTATAATAATTCTTCTATTTTCTACTGGACATATTCTATATGGATATGAAAGAGTTTCATTAAATTTTAACAACTCATACTATTTATATGATTGTAATATACCTCATGATAATAGAATTTATATCAGTTTCTTTAACTTTTATGATTCATATATTGAAAGTATATGTTTTGTTTTTATTCCATTTATCATCATGAGTTTATGTTCAATATTAATTATATTTCAAATAACTGGAACACGTAAAACAATACGTCATAATAATCACAGTAAGTTTAACTATAAACCAATTGTTTTCTCTTTGTTAATTACTTTATAAATCAAATAAATAGTGCGAAACACTCGATTACGTAATAAAGATATTCAATTATGTTGTATGTTAATTGGTACGTCGTTTGCATTTCTTGTTCTTTGTTTACCAGCTGAAATAAATGATATATTTAATTATATTACGTATGAACGTTCATGTTATCATTGGTTTCGAAAAGTTATTTTAATGCTTATGCAACAAATTTATTATGCTGGACATTTTTATATTTATACATTAACTGGTCAATTATTTCGTAAACATTTGTATGCAATTCTATTTACACGTTGTCATCAGAAATCTATTAATACACATCCAAATCTATGTGTAATTATTGATCAACGACCAAGTATAAGAGTTGAAAATAGTCAAATGAAAACAATAATATTTCATTCATCAATAAGAACAAATAGTGAACATTAATGATAATTTGTTTTTGAATGATCTATCTACAAGACCTCTTTCAAACTTAGAATACCTTATTAAAGTCCGCCTCCCCTCAGAAACTGATTTTACGCCAGATATATTCAAATTACCTGAAATTTTCATAATATGATATGGATATAGTCGAGAAGATATGATAAAATTTTTAGTTCTATGGCATGGTGTTTGAGAGAGATATTCATCAAACAAAGATCGAAAATTCCTCAGCTGGCAACCCGAAGTTTTCTGTCAAACGTCACTCCGTATATTTTTTTTTGTTTGACAAAGCATGTCAACATGTAGAACATGATAGAGCCTTTTTCTTAAAATTCTTACTTTTTATGTGAGGACAAAAAGTAACAAGTTTGATTTCGTGAAAAACTTCCTATAAATGGGTCTCTATCTGTAGAAGTGCTTGTATATATAATAAAAACAAAGTTGAACTTAAAAAAAGAGATTCTGTCATGTCCTTCATCCTGAGATGCTGTCTCAAATAAAAGAAAAAATAATTGGCTACAGTTAAGTTCCTTTTGAGAATTTTATCATACGCCATCAAAAGAACATAAAGAGAGAAAAAATGAACATGGTTTTTTCTGAATAGAAATTTTACAATATTTTAATTTTGTTAAACTCTTCTCGTTATTTATGAGCTAGTGAATTTCTGTTGAATATTGGAAAGACTTCTTCTTTGAAGCTTATTAAAACTTGCTAAGATACCTTTACAATCCATCAAAATCTCTATTTTCACATATGAGCGTCATAAAATCCATGCTTACGAAAAAATAAATTGTGTTTGTTGGCAGACGATGACAGAAATCATTGAAAGTTATATTTCAAAGCAAGGCGCCAGCCAATAAACTATTTTGATCATGAAAGATCAGATCTCAGACTGTCCTTTCACCCATTTATCTTAGTTTCGATTTTTCTGACAAAATTTGGCTGTTCGCTGGAGGGGGGGGGGCAGGCTTTATCCATAATTGCTTTCTTTTTGTATTTAATTTATTTTATTGTACATATTAATAAATATATATATATCATTTGATAAAGGTTAAAGATGAATAGGTGTAAAATCCACTCCTCAGGACACACGAATGTAAAATGTGGATGCTTCAAGTTCGGCAAAATACGACATAAACCATAATTGTCAGCAGTGAAATCCTTTAACTTTGATATTAATTTAAAAATATATCACAAAAAATTGGCTATATCTTTAGGCAATAACCAATGAGAATGTTTTTAAGTTCATCAAAATACAAAGTAACATGTCACGAAATAAATTTATATATATATAAAGTTGTAGCACAATCCATGCGAGATAAAAGTGTGAAAGACGATGAAGCTACTATTACTAATCAGAGGGAGATTTCTTTATTCTAATTATCTTGGCACACATTTCTTCACCCTCCTTTTACTTATTCCTCCAGAAATACAATAATGCAGTAGTTAGTATATTGTAACCAGTAGTGTCAAACTTGAAAGTTGAATTCAAGTATTCAACTATTAGTTCAACTATTCAACTATTCAAGAACTCAATTAGTTAACGGCTGGAATGCCACTAGAATCATCTAATATCGACAGGTATTGTCTGCGAGACTACAAGCATCCCCTATGATGCTACAAGCATTCCATAGGATGCTACAACTATCACCTAGAATGCTACAAGCATCCTCTAGGATGCTGCAAACATCACGTAGAATGCTACAAGCATTTTCCAGGATACTACAGCTTTGGGTTAAGATGCTGCAGACATTTTTTGGAATGCCAAGAAGTATGTGAGAAGCTTCAGCTAATGTGCAGCACTGAGTAGGAATAATGGTGTACACAGAGACGTACATGGGTCGTGGCTCTTCGGGGGGGCGCTTCGCGTCCCCACGCTGCGACGCTGAAATAAAAGGTATGTTAGATGGGGAACACGCTTTCCCACTGAATATTCGCAGAACACTTGAGAAGCTAAAATTTGAATAGTTGAATACTTGAATAGTTGAAAATTTGAATAGTTGAACAGTTGAATGCTTGAATACTTGAATAGTTGAGCAGTTGAATACTTGAATAGTTGAATTCAACTTTCAAGTTTGATACTACTGGGAGTTAGATCAGTATCCTTACTTTTACACTCGTTTATCTCACCATTTTCATCTCATGCTCTCACACGTCTAAATCTTTTTTTTCTAGTATTATTTCTTTAATCATATAACACTGATTATTAAAACGCAATTTACTCAACAACATCAATCTTATTCAATTTATGTTGATAATAAGCAATTAATGACTGTTGTTTCACATATTTATTGAATTTTTAATAATCCAAAAATAGAAATAATAACAGAAGCTAAATCATAGATATAACATTCGGATTCATATTATCAAATTATATTTAAATGTCAAGGTTCAATATCTTTGACGTCGTTATAGTATAAATATTGATTATAAATCTATTCAAAATGTCTTAATCATAAATAAAATTTTTCAATTTATTGATATAATTTAAGTGCTTTCTCTAAAACCATAGCCATACCAATTGCTTTTTCTTCTTCTAATCTTCTACACATAACTTGTAAACCAATAACACAATTTTCAAACATTTGCGGACTTTTATAGGTTTCTCTAGCTATTTTATCGAATTCACTTGCTATTTTCATATTACGATATTCATCAGTTATTTGATCTAATTGTAAATCAACTCGGGTAACAGGAAGAATAACAGAACTTAATTGAAGTAAGTTAGCAATACCAGTATATCCACCACTAGTTCGATAATCATGAGGATAAGCAGGTAATGCAAAAATAGGTGAAATAATTCCATCAATAGGTCGGCCTGTCGAAGTTATTTCTTTAGTTTGATTCCATCTCTCAAGATATTTAATTGCATAATTTGTGCGAGCTATATTCAGTTGCCAATTTTCATAAACACTTATTTCCGTTTCTGGTGATCCAATAAAAGCACCTGAAATAAGTGGTTCTCCACTTAAATCAACAGCTTTTTGAACATCTTTTCCACCATCAGCTTGAAAGAATTTCATTAACATTTCAATTGCCTATATAAGAAATCAATAAATTATGAATAATATTATTTTGCAATTTACCTGTGGATGATCTGTTGTATCCCATTCAATAACTTGATGACCAGCTTTTTCAAGAGCATTAATAGCCATATTAATAGCTCTTTGAACGGGTGGAGAAAGATGAACTTCTTGATCAAATTGAATAACTCCAAAACATAATTTATCCATTTGTCCTTCTTGAAATAAATCTTCTCTCCATGGAATATTATGAACTTTAGGATCGATTAACCATGGTTTTTTTTCAAGTATTGATTTAAGAAATAAACAAATATTTGAAAGAGATCTTGTCATAGGTCCAACGACACTTGGAACAGATTCTTGTCCATCTAATGAAGTTTTAGCTCGACCATAAGGAATTCTTCCATCGGATGGTTTTAATCCATATATACCATTTACAGCTGATGGAAATCGAATACTTCCACCAATATCTGTTCCTAATCCACAAATACTGCCTTTCATAGCAATTAAACTTCCTTCTCCGCCAGAACTTCCACCACTACTAAATTCTCGATTTAATGAATTTAAAGTTATACCTAAAAGATAACTTCCAGCTTCACCCTTCATAAGCGTTTGTGGAACAGTTGTTTTGACATATAAAACAGCTCCAAGAGAAAGAACAATATCAACAATAAATGAATTATATTCTGAAATATCTCCTAAATATCCAACATAACCCATTGCTGTTTCAATACCTTTGATATTGAATTGATCTTTAAAACTAATTGGTATACCATGCAGTGGTCCTATTGTCTTACCGCCTGTGGATTTAAAATAATCATCAAGATAGTGAGCTCGTTCAAGAGCTTGTGTAAATAATATTTCTGCTAAACAATTGACAAGTTGATGAGCAATAGATGCTCGTTTACAATAAGCTTCAGTAACTTGTACTGCAGTATATTTTCCATTAGCAATTCGATGAGCAAGTTCTTCTATATCATCAATTTCTGTAATTTCAAGATCAAGTTTTGAAAGTATTCCACATTGAGATGGAACTAATGTTGAGTTCTTCGGAGGATTTTTTAGAATTGTTTCAGGTAATCTCCATCCTTGTGGAATTAAATTATAAAGAGATGCTCGTTTTTGAGCAGCTTTTTCTTCCCAAGATTGTAATGAAGACATTGAATCTATGATCTATCTTATTTGTAATGAAAGAAGAAAAAAAGATAAAAGAAATATGAGCCTGAATGTTTTTTAAAATGAAGATATATCTAACCTCGAATTTGAATGGTTCTCTATATAACCAATCAGAAAAAAAAAATTTTATTATGTCAAGCGATTATTTGAATAAGTAGATAAGGTTTGATATTGTGAAGGTCGTTAAACAGGTTGAAGCATACTGTAAATAGAAATATTAAAAACATTCGTCTTTCCTTTATAAAATGTAAAAAAAAATGATATAGCGAGAATGCATGTCTCATTCGTAGAAGTTATCTCCAATCATGAATTACATTAATGCTGGGTGTACTAATAGTTTTGCGATATTTACTCTTTTCGAAATATTCCACCTGAGAAGTTATAGATGATTCTAAGTTTCTTATTGAGGTATACAATATTTCAATCTCTACAAAACTCTATTAATCTAGATTCAAAACAGCGGAAAAGAAATTTTTTATAGACAACATTCTGCGGCTCCGCAAGTGAAACTTTTGTCCTATCTATTTTTTAATTATGTATTATTTTCATGGAAACAAATATTCAGTTTAGAAAAACTAGACTTCTATTAAACAGCTTTTGAAAAGTTTTAATATATGTGGATGTCTTCAAAGTATATTTTAATATACATCGTGTTAGCTAAAATACATTATATTTTGAAAATAGCAAAATTGCCTTGTTTAATTACTCGTTTTCAAAAAGACGTCTTAGTAATGTTGTATATGATGAAATGGAGTCTGTTTTTTGTGGAGTTTTATGAACAAGTGTTTTGTCTCTTTATTTACTGTTCAGATAACTCTTGGTAAAAAAAAAAGTTAACTAAATAAAAGATTGAAACATTGTAAAGAAGGCTATTTTCGTTACATTAAATCACATTAGTTATTCTTTACTCCACTAATATAGATTGTGATCAAGCATTTAGAAATTCTACTGAAAGAGTATGTAGTAGTGACTCGAATTCCATGTAACAAGCTTTCTGCATGTTTCTTCATAACTTGCGAAGAACGGTGCAAAAAAAGTGAAAACATAGGTGAGATAAAAGCTTCACCTACTGAACAACAGAACATAGTCTACAAAAAACTTTTTGCCAGTTGTGTTAAATTTAGATTAATAGAATTTTATAGATATTGAATTGTTGCACCGCTTGATAGGGGACTTAGGGTTATCTATTAAGTCTCAGTTGAAATATTTCAAAAAGAGTAAATGTCGCAAAATTTTTGGCACATCCGAATGTATATTCATTTATCAAATTTATGTTTTTCTTTACTTTTAAACCATAAATTGGGTACTTTTTTTCATTTAAGAATACTGAAGCGATTGAAAGTTAAATATTATTCCTTAGTTTAACCCTTTTTGAGAAGTTACACCGATTATAAGTTTATCCACTGCTTCTCTTTATCATTCTTGTTACTCTCTCTTTATGCTTATGAGTGTTGTGTAGATACATGATTATATAAATCTTCCTTTTTGTTTTTGTTATAAACATTTCCATATGTTCTAATAAAAGTAGACACGACCAATACTATCGCATATTTAGAAAATCAAGGATGTAGTGAAAATAACAATATTTTCTGATAAAAATGAGCTTGAGATTATGCCATCTACGTCAGAGACTATGTCTCTTTGCTCGATGATCTCAAGTGAAAAATAAAAAATATGATTTTTTTTTATCTTCCAGCTCAACTCGTGTTATATCTCTGATTTCTAAAGTATACAACACATCTCAATAATTATAATGTCTGTTTTAAAAAATATATAAAATCGATACTAGCATTGATATAAGAATTATGACTGCAGATAAAATTTTCAATCATATATTAGTTGATTCGACATGAAAAAGTCGCAGTTCTTATAAAATTTTTTGAATAATTTTTAGTTGTCCGTTTATTCTAAATCAGATATTTTAAATGCCAATAGTGGTTGAAAACTTTTTGCTAGCGAATGTAATAAACTAGAACTATTTTTAGTAATTAAATGGAATTCTTTAAATCTCGAAGTATCGCATGTGCAAGTACTATAATTCTATATAAGTTCCTACCATCTCGTGATGCTCCATTGAACAACTCTGTCGGCACGGTATAACAAATAAAAATTAATCTTAATCTTTTTTTTTTCGTTCTGAATTATCATTGGACATGTCATCTGTAGATTTTTTATTCAACGAAACTGAGAGCATCATCATCATCATCATAGACATGGGATCAAGTGCAAAATATTCCATTAAATAAGGAAAAAGAAAAACGAAAGTTCAATTTGAAATAAATGTTTTTGTTTGATCGTTTCTAATTGAACAAAAGATAATTAAATCTTGGATTTCTATTGAGATCTACATGTCTGAACACCATGATGTACACCTTCATCATCTGAATCTCCACCATCATATGCTTCACGTCGTTGACCATGTTTACTATCATGTGCTGATTTAGTTGTATGAAAATCAATCATAGATACTTCTTCGACATGTTCACCGTGTGGAATATCAACATGTGGTCGTTTTGGTAAAATCGATTCAAGTTGCTAAAAATCAAAATCAACAATTAAATATCAAAAATCATAGAAAAACTTTTAAACTAACCTTTAATTGTGCGTCCGTAAGAGACTTTTCTGATGGAAATTCGACGTCAAATTGAATAATTAAATCTCCAGTATCATGCGTTCTCATATTTATCATACCTTGTCCTTTTACACATCGATATGTGTCTATAAAATTAAATTGTATATTTCAGTTGAAAACTTTTTAATTAATAATAATAATAAACTCTACCTGGTGCTATTGGATCATTTGGTGGATGTTGAATAACAATTTGTCTTCCATCTAAATGTGTAACAACTATTTGAAATCCACATAATGATTCAATTAATTTTATTTTATGTTTCATAATAAGATTATCTCCACTACGTTCAAATACTGCATGTGGTTCTTGTTGTAAAACAATAATAACATCTCCAGGTTCCATATTTGGTGCTTGATCACTTTCACCTGGAAAACGAAGTTGTTGTTCATGTTTACTACCTAAAGTAAATATTGAATTTGAAAGAAAACAAAACAAAAAAACAATCTGATTTTCTTATTTCTTTTATTTTTACCAGGTGATATAACAATTTCAAGTTTTTTCTTTTCATCAACTGTTTTTCTTCCATTACATGTTTTACAACGATCACGTTCGTTGATTATTTCACCTTCTCCATTACATTCTTTACAAACTTGTTGCATTCTTTGAATCATACCCGGACCTAATTGTCGTGTTATAAATTGAATACCTTGACCACGACATCCTGAACATGATTGTTTGGCACCTTCACGTCCGCCATTACTAAATAATAATTTGCGAAAAAAGAAAAATAAAATTGATTGATATTTTTATTCTTCTTACCCATTACATGCTTTACAAATAATTTTACGAGATATTTCAAGTGGACGTGTATCTCCTTTATATAATTGTTCAAGTGTGACTCTATTTAATTCATTAAGATTAAATAAAAACAAATAAATAATAAATTATTTACTTGAGTGGATGAGCAATATCATCACCTTTACGTCGTCGATTACGACCTCTTCCACCCATTGAACCACCAAAAAGACCACCAAATCCACCAAAACCTTCAAATGGATCACTTTGACCAAAAAATTGTCCGAGAATATCAGCCATGCTGCCTGAATAACAAAAAATTCATTTTATATTTTATTTTAATAAAAAAATCTTATTTAATAAAGAAAAATAAAATGTTACAATAATATTCAACATTAATTGTTAATTCAATATTATATATAAATAATCAGACTCTATTTAATCTAAAATTTTGAAGAGAAATTTCTTTCTAAACATGATCTGGCGGGAAAGTCATCGATTTTCTATTAAAACTATTAATTATAAGACTTGCAAAGATGTTTTTCAGGAAAATTTTAACTTCTTGACAACGGAAAACATTTTCTATCATCAACAATCTTGTTTATATCTATTCTATTGAAAATTGGTTCAATTCTATTATTATCATCTCTATACAAATCATTGAACTTAATGCTCGAGTTTTTCGTGAATTCAACTTTGCAAACCTACATTCAACAGATCTAAGTACTTGAATCTGCATAAACTATAAATACAATTTATATAAATGATATTATTTTATGAAATACGAGATCTAGAAAGCACAATATATGATTCTAATATATTGAGACAAATTCATCGAGATGTCATTGAGTACTTAGATTTGATTATATAATAATACTAACCTCCACTACCACCACCACCACCTTCTTTAAGACCTTCAAGACCATACATACTATTAAAACAAAATAGTTAAAATCAATTATTTTAAATAAAAATAATTCTTACTCATAAATCTGTCTTTTACTTTCATCGGTTAAAACTTGATAAGCAAATGAAATTTCTTTAAATTTTTCAGCTGATTCAGGATTTTTATCTGGATGATGAGTTTTAGCAAGTTTATGATATGCCTATTACAAAATAAATTAATATAAAAATTCTTTCGATTATATTTTTTCAATTAACAAACCTTTTTTATTTCTTGATCACTTGCAGTACGTGGAACACCAAGTAGATCATATAATTTACTGTCAGGCATGATAAGTTTTTATAAATATCTACAAAATAGGTTTAAAAAAACAAAAAAAATCTTTCAACTTTCATCTGTAAGTTCAGTTTCTAAAGAAATAAATTTTTCAATAATGTAAAAGAAAAAAAAGTATATGTCAGTTCATAATCTAAAATAAGAATTAACAAAATGAGTCAGCAAAAATACGAATGTTGCAAATAAACTGCCGACGGCACAGAAAATAGAAAAAAAGGAATAATATCCAAAGTGTAGGCGACGTAAATTTTGTAGTTTGCGGACGGTAGGAAGAAAACATATGGGAGTATGGTAAAATACGGATTCGATAATCAAATTAATTTGATCAGAAAATTTCTTTTTAAAAAATATATATTTAAAAAATCTAATTTAATTAATTTGATAAATTTGACAATTATGCGTCACTATAGAGAGGTCAAAGTAAAAATTCAATGGAACATATTCAACCAATAAAATTTGATCTACTTGTTGCCATGAGTGATAATATCTTATGAAATTCTATAGTGTTTCGAGTAGCAGCAAGTGAACTATATACATGCTGCTTTCTTTTCTGAATATTATGTATATCACGTAGATATTGTTTCTAAGATTGTCACATGTTTTGTTTTTCCTAAAGAAAAAAATACGAAATGAAAATGTATTCTGACTTTATTAGACTATTTTATCAAGTAGTTCGATTTTGCTTTTCTAATCGGATTTTAACGATTTCATATTTCGGCTTGTCCGCGTAACGCGACACTTCGCCGATCAAGTTTTGAAAAAAATTTTTTTCGAGTTGGACAGATCTCATTGGACTATTAGATGCAGTTTTTTACGCTGATTACGAATTTGACATTGAGTTAGCATAAAAATCAGATTTTGATATCAAAAATCGGATTCTAAAGTTTTCAAAAACCGTATTTTGGATTTTTTAACCCAAGAAATTTTTTCAACAAGGGCTAAGGGACATACCATTCGATGCAGAATTAAATTCTCTACAAAATGGTCTATTTAGTTTTGACTTTGGTAGCTTAGAATAGATTGAAAGCTTCGGTAAAGTTTCCAACTTCCTACCCAGTTTATAAGTTCTCAGATCGATGTATCAATCTCATTTTTGCAGAGGAGATTGTCTACTTATAAAACAGTAACAATTATAAAAATCAAGTAATTCCGAGTACACTAAGTGCCTCAAAATTGGCCAACAAAAAACTGTGTAACAGCGTTACGTTTGTTTTTTGCATTTTTTATTTGAACAAAATGTTTTAGAGAAAATCTTTTTTACTGCCTGAAAGTCTATTCAATGCTCTACAAAAGTGATTCTTGGAGCATTACATTTGAAGAAATGATTTCGCAAGAAATTAGAGTTTTCTCAGTGTCACTGGAAAAAAAGGGTCCTTTTATGTAACAGCGTTACGCCATGATAAAACATTTCTAGATGCCTGAGACTTCAATCAAAAAAGGTCATTTTTATATGATAAATGAAGTTCGATAAGCTGCATCGAATGACGTTTGAACGAACTTCCTAGCTCTTAAACTTTTCGAGAAAGTTGGAGAAGAGTATATCAAAAACATAACAGCGTTACGTTTGGACAAGCCGATTTACAAAAAGGTCTAAAATATATTTTTTGATTATGATCATTTATCTGTATTTTTTACTAAGTAAAAAGACGAACTATTAACTTTTATTGTTTCTTTACCAATATCCACACCAAAATAAAAGACAGGTAGATGTAAGCTCAATAACTCGACAATGGCAATAGCTATCGGCTTGTAGTTTTCACCAATCGAAAGAGTAGAACTTCGGACGTCTTTTTTTCTGATACTGTATGAGGGAAAATTATTTTGAAATTCATCATTTTCGCAAAACTTTCAAAAACATGCATGAAAATAGTGTTCCGTTGGAAGAAAATTTATTAAAAATCAATGAAAGTCTATATAATTTAACAGAATAGATACGTAAATTTGTTTGCTTAACATTGACATATGAGAAGATAATCACCTGAATCGTGCTTGGAATTATAAATCTGAAGCACATGTCAAAATCAAAGTTTTCTGAAAATAGAAAACTGCTTCCATGTATTTTTTGAAAGTTTTGCAAAAGATAATGGATTTTAAAATCATGTTGTCTTTTATATTGGATGGCGCAAAATAAAATGGCCACTTTTGTCCTATGTTTTTGAGGCACTTGTCAGTGATTCAAGGTGTTGATGCTGGACTCATTTGATAGAGAATTTTCTGCTCTACAAAATTCATCGTTTGCTTTTATTACATATTATTATTTCATTATTTTAAAAAAAATAGTGCAGAATAAGGACAGGTAAAAAGTGAAACTGCGATTTCGTATCAAAATTTCTGTGCACAAGTTAATTAACGCGTTCGGATAACGTGAGACGTTGAAAAAGAAAACAGTGAAAGTACAGTATCTAAATGATGCAGAGGTTTTGTAGAACAGAAAATTTTCTATCTTCTATAGTCAGAACGAAATTTTCGAACCACACTGGATATAGATAAAAATAGGTACAGTAATCGCCATAAGTGGCCGCGATTGAAAAAACGAGGAAGACAAAGGAGTTATTTGGTTATATTTTAATTATGAAATGTACATTATATGTGCATCATCCGCATAATTAATATAATGGCTTTTTCTTTGAATTAACAATGCTACTCTATTTTCCATAGAATTGCCTAATTTTTCAGCAAATTTAATAGCTAAGTTTCTACATTCTTTTTTTCTATGCTTTCAATGAAATTATTGATCGATATATACGGTTCTTTTTTTGTTCTGAGCTTCACTACTGCCCAGACATTTTCACTTGGGTTACAGTCTTTGAGTTTTATATTCTGCTGGGATCTTTTTTAAAATATCGTCACTTCTTAGCAATGTTTTCGAGGTCGGTCTTATTGAATGTACACCAGTTTCTTTAAATCTTCTTCTTAATGTGGTTTTACTAATTTTTATATCTTTCTGTGATAACCTAAACGCAATTTGACCAACAGATTCGATTGAATGTTGAGCTACCATGGATTGAATTGTTGCGTATTGTTTTTCCGGTATAGACCGGATTTTTGTGCAACTTATATGTCACCAGCTATTTCATACCTTCTAACCCTACATTTTACAATTACTTACTGATTCGTATAGATACTGTGAAATATCACCATTTGACATATGTGGGGAATAGCTTTGCCTTTATAGAAAGATAATTTCTCGTCTTTTCTTTAAAAAAAGGTTAATTTTCTATTGAGTTATAAATTGATAACAGAATGAATACAAATGTTCCTATTTATATCGGATGATAAGCCCGACTAGCCCGTTCAAACAAAGCAAAAAGATAAAATAAAAGTCATTGTTGAACAAGAAAAAGAGGTCGCGGCCACTTATGGCGAGTACTGTATATGAATAAATCCATCATTTTAAGACCATCTACTCTTGGTAGCAAAATGTTAGAAAAAATTTTATTTCTCAATATGGACTAATCAAATGAAGACGAGTTCTTTACACAATGTACCTGTGATGAATAGGTATCAGAAGCATTATTGAATGATCGATTAGGTCGAATATAAATGAAATTATCATCTGTTCTTCTCATCGCAGTTTTACTTTTTATCTGTCCTTATTCTGCACAATTTTTTTTAAATGATGAAATAATATGTAACGAAAGCAAACGATAGATTTTGTAGAGCAGAAAATTCTCTATCGAATGAGCCTAGAATCAACTCCTTGAATCACTGAGAAGCGCTTCAAAAACACAGGACAAAAGTGACCATTTTATTTTGTGCCATCCGTTAATATCAGGCAAGAAGACATTCGAAGTTCTACTCTTTTGATAGCTGTTGCCTTCATCGAATTATTGAACTTATACTTGCCGTGGATGTTAGTTAATTTGATAAATTTTATTTTTTTGTACGCTTCGACAGTGCACAAAACCATTTTTCTTTTCAAATTTTCCTTAGTAAAAATTGCATGCAAACCTGTTGAAATGCATAGGATACAAAAAAGAACGATTCTTTGTAGATATTCACAAGCAAAAGTCTTATAGGTTTATACAAAAAATTTAATTCATATGTCAATAAAAAAAAAAAAATATTGACTTTTTGATTTATTTGAATTTGTGAAAAGTTGTTAAGATATATTTGACTGAATCCTATGTAAATGAATCAATCTAATCTATTAAAATACTTATTTTTATATGCAGACGAAATTTTTCATCTCATATCAATCAAGAAAATACGAATTGAAAATAATTAAATATCAATTGCATGAAGATTAAATTCTTAGATTATCATACTATTCTAAAATCAAAATAATGATAAATAATATATGCGATCGAAGCAAATAGATAATGTTTGTTTTCACAAAATTTAAACAATAATTAAGATGATGATATAGGCACAATTCCTTCTATTGTTAATCTTGATTCATCTTTATGATAATTTGGTTGAATTAGTTTTGATATACTTCCTACAGGTAAAACTGTTTCATCACTTGATAATTCCATTCTCAACTATATAATAATAAAAAGACAAATTCATTTTTACAAACAAAAAGAGATTCATTTGTTTATACCTGTAATGGATCTGTTTCATCATTTGAATCTCCACTAGTAGCACACCACATATGACAAAATGTAGGCACTATAAGTGATAAAGTAAATAAAGCACCACCAGCTACAACTAAACATATTCCAAACAAATGACTTTTATCTAAATTTTTATTATAAGCAATTGCTTGTCGATCGATAATAATAACTTGAGAATCACTAGATGATAATTGAGAATCAACATTAATTTGTTTTCGTGGAAGAAAAAAACTAATTAAGAGTAGAGAAAAACCAAAGAGAACCAAAAATGAACCAAACCAAAGAGGTAACTTCCACCAATGACTCGAAAATTTCGGATGATGAGATGAAATTAGATATCTAAATTAATAACAATCATAAAAAAAAATCAATAGAAATATTTTTCAAGTAGTCTCAAACAGTATTCATTGGTTTATCTAAATAATCTTATTAATGAACCAATCATTAAATTCTACGGTTGATTAGTTTTATTTTGAATTATATTTATCAAGCAAAACGTGTTTACTATATTATTATCAGACCTTAATGATCATTTAGAAATTCAATATCTATAAGAGAAAAAAACTATATGTGATCATGGATACTGAAGAATATTTATGATAAAATATTTTGCTTTCAAAAAATCATTTTCTCCGGTTCAATAAAGTGACAAATGCCTAGACACCTACCGTTGTTGAACGTTTTCACGTTGTTCACCATGATTTTGTCGATCATAGAAATTATTCAAATAAGATTTAACACCAAAATGACGCATACATCCAACTTCAGTTTCCATAATTATTTATTGAACTTTGTTTCTTTTATCTTTCGTCAAGTGTTTGTGATTATTCTTTCTATTGCGATACGTGATATTGATAGGTTATATCTTTCAAGCTGACAAATAAATGAAAAAAAAGAATATTTTTTCTCACTCTGCGAGAGTTCATGAACGCATATAGAGAAATAAAGAGACAAGAAAAAAAAAGGTCGTAGTATTTTCTGTGTTACATAGTTCTTTGTCGTCTATATTTTTCTCCGTTGAATAATGCTTTAGCCTATGCATGTGTGCAGTAATCTCGATCTACTTGTTTTATTTTTTTTTTGCATATTTGTTAGAATGCAAAAGAATGAACGAGAAAAAAAAAGCATTTACTTCGTATATATAACAACCCTTATGCCTTTCTATCAATCAACACAACTGATAGCTTTCTTTTTGTTAGTGATGACACGATGAGTAGATAGATGAAGATATTTGCTAAAAGACATATTTCATGACAATTTATTCAAATATAGAAAATCTCCTATAAAGCATGCATATTCTTCTTATCTTTCATAGAATTGTTTCGTGATGAGAGTTTACAGAGTGTCGGTTGTTATATTATTGCTCAGAAACTGATATGTACGCATTGTAGCAACAAAACTCGTCAAAATGAATAAAATGATGATGTTATTTTTAAAGAATATTGCATGCTCGATTAATCGGTAACATATATCTGAATAAGAAAAATTCGATGTTTAACTGTAATTGTTGTTTTCAAAGTACAAGTCATATTAATGAAAATTAACAAATTGTAGATTCAGATGTAGAAAACAGTATTATTCTGTTGTTTTGAAGCACATAATAATGTTAACTCGTCATTATTTAACAAAATATAACTCAAAATACCAAGTAGTTTTGTTCTTCAATGATACCCTCAAGAGAAAATAAGTTAAATATATTTTGCAGTTTCTCTTACTATTCAAACTTCATTAACATCAAGGGTGTGCATGTGGTTGTAGATGTTAGTGAAAGGATGGCCTGCACATACACTCAATCCCTGTTCGCAATACAGATTTTACAATATTTTGATGATACTGATAAACATAATTCATTATTCTTATTAATAATCATAGAATGTAAAACTTCGATAATTACAATAACTTTTTTTTTTCATTCTAACCATCAATATGAAAATATAATATTTACATGTAATAAAGTAACTTGTAGAAAATTATATCAAGAATTTTTTTAATCATTTGTTTGCCATAGTTTAAAACGATTCAATAATCGGTGAATTTCTTCATAACAAATCGTTCGTAGCTATTCGAAAAATTTTAATAATCGTGGAAACGAATGTGTTATAGATCATTTTATAATTTATTCTGACATTACAATTGACTCTCTTGCTTTCGTGTCGTATATCAAAACAAATGTTTATAAAGTTACGATAAAAGATTTAAATGATTTGAAATTCATAATAACTATAGAAATTCGAGTAGATATAAAAAAAAACCGGGTACATATTGTTGATGACATTTAAAAAAAGCCTAACTTTTAAACTATAACCGAAAGTATAACATTTTCTATACTGTTGATGAAGTTGATCTTTACAAATCAAAAGCTATTAGTCTTCAATTTGAAATAGAAAAAAAAATTTTTTTTGCTTAAGTTTGATCATTAGCCGAATTATTTGTATTTATTAAATGATCGAGATTTTTGAAATATCCTGCCGATATATATATATATATTTAAAAATGTGATAGTCATAATCAAACATGAAGCAGTCTGATATTGGTCGTCATAGTCTGCTCAATGAAATATTGATTATCATGTCAAAGAAACTTGATAATATTTAGGTTCTCTTTCTTTTATTTGGAATCAATAATAAATGACATAATATTTTAGTACAAGACGATGTACTTACTAACATTCTCAATTTTTTAAAGTACAACATCAATTACTAATGACTTCTATATTGTTTCAAAGGTATCACTATATCAAAAGAAACTCATTCTCGAAACAATACCTGTAGAATGTATTCTCCTTGTTAGTGATTATCCAAATTTGACTTATCTTGAATTGTTCGATATCAAACAAGAGATAGTATTCTGTTATTTTACAGATAAGTATTTAACATACTCTTAGTCATTAAAAATCAAATATGCAAAATCATTGAACGACATTTATTTTTTCTTTGATAACTCAATCTTTCGATATATTTTTTAAATATCAGATAACTGGTCGTATTCTTCATAACAATAACAAATATACCAAATGTTAGCATTGTTAAACACTCGTATTAGATTGTGGATTTTCATATATCATGATTTTCTTCGAAAATCTAAAGCATTTGGCAATTGTTGCATCAACTGTTAATGAATATCCATCCTTGTCATTTCATAATCTACCATTGCATACTTGGTTCTCTTCTACTATTACTGTATTATGTATTAATGTTGTTTAAAGTTAAGAAAAAATATCGACGATAAAATCATGTTCATATTTCATGTGAATGTACCAGATGATAAGTAGAAGCCTGAATAGAGGATAATAGTTTTGATCATTGTAAAACAATTAGAAATAGATACCTGTTCTTGTTTGCCTATTATTCAAATTTTCTTTTTATTATAATTAATTATTAACTACGCACTAAAATAAGTTAAACAAATAATTGCAAAAAAATGGCTTTTTCGATTGTCGCAATAAACAATACAAAAGATTGTCTATTTGTTTCTCAATAATTAATTTTTGACTTTTTATTGAATACAGAATGCATGCCATTTTCTGTAAATTACCAAGCAACAACAGCAGAATTTACCAACATTATATATGAATTTCTCATTCGCTCATAACACCTCTGGTATGATCGTCATTTGAAGAGATTGTAGGATATCATATAGAACTCCCTAGATTGAAAAATACACAAGGATAAAAGATGATATGGTCAAAACAAATTATACTGCTTTAGATCGTATTGATGACAATATTTCTAAGAAGAAATTTTTCTCTGTTAATTAGAATGTTTGCATAATAATTATAGTTTTACTCTAGAAATAAGACCTATTCTATTTAACAATATTAAGAATATTTCATGAAGATTCAGAATTCTAACTCAAGTTTACGATTTTAAAGTCTCTTCAAATCTTGTGAAATTCTTAAGATGATCATTTTCGTCTTGAATTGAACGTCCAAATATCTAAATTACTATTTCTAATGTGTAAAAAGTTTCAAATTGTTGACTATTAGCTTTTACGATCAATTTCTTACATAAACTTTTTATCTTAGCTAAGCTCATAAATATGTATTCTAAAGACATTTTTGTATTTTTGTAATAGGATGATCTACATAATTTGAAATATTTCACATTAACAGGTTAAAATGTCACTCATCATTATAATGAGTTAATTGTGCTACTTCTTGATTATATCTGACATCTCGAAAAGCTAACTTTGTATCTTCGTATTCTTACGCAAAATCTATGCGTCGTCGATGGCACATATCTTCAGACTGAAATTCTTGTTTATATGTCTCAACTTCGTATATTCATCGTTTAGTTTCTCATATATTTATTAATGATATTCAATGAACGTTTGCCAACATGAACATATAGACAAACGGTTTATATCATAGATTATGTCAAGGCCTCTAAAGCCATATTTCATGTATGTTGGCTTTCATTTACTTTTACTCATCTGGAAAAGGTCACGAATCAATTTCCAACTATTATATTTAATACCATAATTCATTTGTACGCCTACAATATGACTCCAACGAAGTACGAATTCTTTGTGCAAGTAGATCGGACTTTTCTAATGCTTTAGTGTTTTTCTATGATGAATGCTATGATGCATTCAAGGGATCCTTATCAATGGGAATTTGACGAGAATCCATTCTAGTCGAAACATAAACACGTCGACCTTGTCCGACTGAGTTAAACGTTACTTAGAATCAATTAAAAACTCCAATAACCTATGCGCATCTTCCATCCTGAAAGAGTTAATCTTAATATGAACGGATGATGATATAAATGTATAGAAATAGAACAAGTAACCTCCAAAAACTATAAGAATTTTCAGAAATTTCCGAGAAAAATTCTGGCAATATACTTTTTTTATTTGCAAGTAATTATTGAAGCTTCCTAGAAATTACCTTCTCATGTCTGAGTAATTTCTGAAATATTCGATATATTTCTATCTTTCGGTTATGAATGAGTTCGAATGGAATAATGTAAATTATGACAATTTTGGAGAGTTTCTTTGAAAATCTAAGCATACTTCAACAACTTGAATTATTTTTTTCTCTCGAATTTTGTGATGTGATCTTGATTTTAGATGATTTTCGTAGTACATGTGGAAATAACATATACTACACGTCAATACATAAAAAAATAAATAAACTAACAATGTTCGATCAAAGTTTTAGACAAGTGAACATATAACAGTATTTATTTCTCTCATATTAAGTATAGTTGAATTTCAAAAATAACTAAAAAGTCTGGAAATAAGATAAAATAAAGGACGAGACTTGATTTCAATGATGGTACGGTGAATGTTAAATAAATTAGAAGTAAATGAAGTCGTTTATAATTCCAAGTTTAATATAACCATTTTTTATCAGTTTGTGAAAAAAATGAGCATCATTCAAATGATATTCGAAACTCTATAATGTAATAATATTAGTAGTCGTGAGAGAGTCTCAAGAATTGAGTGATGGAAAAGTTTAAATGGAGTGTCAATAAATCTCTCAGAACGGATATATAAAACTTTAAAAGAAAAAAGTTCAACCCTTTTTGTTGACAATAATGAAAAATTTACAATTATTGAGGAAGTGTTCACTCCCCATTCATCTTTTCATACTTTCACGACCTCTAAATAATAACAATAATATTGTTGATATGTTTTTTTTTATAATAAGAATAAATGAATACGATGAATATTTTCATAACTTGTCATTTTCTACCTAGGATGCTGCTGTTTCTGCGGTACCTGAATATAATGGTGTAAGACCACAATAATTACCTTGTATTTAACTTCCTG